TTATCAATGTTTTAACTTGGGAAATGATCCACCCTCCCTTCTCTTACTTGCTGTTATTTAAAGAGATTCTAGAAGACTCTACTCAAACTCAATTATTGTTATTGGAATATTAATTTTCAAATTTTGCTGAGAAAATAAATCTTAATAAATAAATTTAGATTTATTTTTAAAAGTTGTATTCTTAGATAAGTTTTCGGTTAAATGCTGATTTCAAAACTTTTAAAATTCGTTTTTTTTTTTTTTTTTTTCACATTCTTCTTCTTATTAGTATTATTATTACTTTTATATCAAGGATTCGAGAGCCTTTTAGGATTCGCATTCAAAACAGTTTAGGATATCACCTGTAATTTTCTTAATACAACAATCCCGCACCTCGTAGAAATAGCCAATAGTGCTTTCCGTAATTCATCATTTTATTAAACGGTAAATTGGCAGGGTTGGTTAGGGGGTAGGTAAACAGATATAGAGATATGAATTGTTATTTTAGCCCCCTACCTCCCCGGTGGCTGTGTAGCTTAAGATCGCTGAACCCAGTAGTTCGATTCTAGTTTCAAATCCTGTGTCGTATCCATGTTACACCTAGGAAAAACCACGAATACACTCATGCAGTTGAACCGTTCGCCTGGAATCGAACCGTCCAGGCGAACGGAATGGTATCGCTGAACACTGGTAGTTTGATCTGGTGAGCGGCTAATCGGTCAAACAATAACAGAGATTTTATTACTCATATAAAATGAAATATTTAAAAAATGATTAAGAAACAGACCATCATAATAAGACATCTTTGACGAGTAAGTTTTTATTTGCTGTTACAGTAATACTTAGCATATGAATAAAAACTTCCGATTTGCATTGTAAGAGTATTATTGTTCAAATGATGGTGTTATGAAATTAAGGCAAAAACTACGGGGAGGGATATCTGGCTTCGTTCAGGACTTCCTGAGGGAAACTGGCTCGTATACACACGTTACACTTGGGGAAAACCACGAAAACGCCCATCCCGTTCGTGGGATTCGAACCTCGGACCGAACTACCAGTGTTCAGCGACTTTACCGCTCGGCCGCTGGTGGGCGTTCAAATGATGGAATAATATCAGAAGGATAACTTCAAACCAGAACATTTTATTATGTATAAATATAACCCGTATATTTTGTGCAAATAAAGTAAAAAAGGGTTGCACATTATATGTATGAAGTACTAAACTATAACTTATGATAATGATAAAAAGGCATTTGATTGTAACAACAGTTTGAGAAAAATCCACTACCCAAAGAGTTCAAGTTCATAACAGCAGATATAGTAACGACTTCTTCAGAATTCCGCAAAATTAAAGAAGCTGTTAAAGGTAAATGCATTTGGAAAACGCCTAACTCGCTCTTCGGGAAAGAGATCTGTACTTACAAGTTTTCAAAAGAGTTACTACTTCGCATGAGAAGCTGTTTGTCTGATGTAGTAAACTTAGCCGTAGCATGTACGTTGTAAGGGGGAAATTATGGATTCGAAGCTGGTATTTCTTCTCTCTTTTTCAATATTGTTTTTATTAATTCTTTTAACATCCTGCCCTCTCCCTTTTTGTTTTCAGAACATTTTATTTATATAAAGCATTTTTAAATAAATGACGCAAAGCGTGTAATGAACTTTCTATGGCATAAGATAAAAAAAATATAATTACAGGAATACATTTTTCTGTACATATTTCCTTTCCCTCCCTTTTTTTTTTTTTTTTTTTTTCCCGGCCTATTTCCTTTCCCATTTTCAGTTTTTTTGCATATCTGCTTTTCTTTTCTTTTTTTTTTTCCCCCCATTTATTTGCCTTGTGCAGAAAAGAAAAGTCAAAATATTATAGTGCTCCCCCCTCCCCCATTCTGGGGGCAGAAGGGACACAGAAATAGAAATTTTTTTTCTGAAAAACCCATGACACATGTTCCCTTTCCTCTCTCTTGAAAACTAGCAATTTTTACAATCAAATTAAATTTAAAAAATATTAAACAGAGTAAAAAAAAATCTGTAGAAATTATGATAGTAAAAATAAACTGATGTATACAGTATAATTGTGGAGTTTTCTACATGTGTAGCGTAAGCTAGCTTCCCTTAGAAAGTCTGCCAATTAGGCATGTCATATATTTGGCAGACAGCCCTCTCGCGCTTTGCTAGCTCGATTGCAAACAAAATTTAAAACAAATAAAAAGTATAATTTAAAATCAACCTGCTTGATCAGTATGAAGGTTACTGATGCTTGTTGCCATATTGTTGTATGCCTGGGTTAGAAATGCGGGGAAGTCCCGAATGTTAGTAGGTGTATAATGTCTGTGCGATATGGAGGCATTTAAAACACTGACGAGGTGGAAGTCCTCACGAGAGGTTTGGTGGTAGGGGAAAGAAGGGTGTGAGACCCTTGGATCCGTCCCTGGGGTGTTCTCCATCAAAAATGGGACATAACTTTTCATTTCTCTTAGATGTAATTCGATCGTCGCTTGTAGTGTACCCTGGGCAATACTCTTTGCGATAACACGGCTAAACGACTGACGGGTATTGGCATTCTCTATGAATACATTAAGTTGCCGGTGTCCGGCAATTTACGATAGCAACACTTTGAAACAAACAAGAAATGTAGTTGTAATTTCAAAACCATAGTAATGCGAAATATTTCTCTTACAATAATGTTCATATTAAATTTTTTTAATATTACTTAGGTAAATAAAGATATATGCCTTCACATCACCAATCAATACATGCTGAAAAAGATAAAAAAGACAAAAAATGAAATGTTATAAACAACGTAAAAATGACAAATTTAAAAATCCGATGACGCAATTTTTAGAGTGGGACAAATCATGTCATTCACTACGTAATATTCTGAAATATTTTGTGTTTCAAATATTAAATCACGTTACTTATTCATTGCTCACAGTTTGTATCATGTTATACTTTAAATATATACAAGGATATATTGGTATATTCCGAACATTTTTGCACTTTTTGTAGCAGTATTCTATTAACCCTCTGAGCGTCATGAGATTTTTGGTCACTTCGTATATATGAGCTTATAATTTAAGAAATTTTCCTTTTTCTTACTCGCTTTAATATTTTAAATGTCATCTTAATGAATGTAATTTTTTGGAAATAGAGACTAAAATAAATAAGTAATTATACAAATTTTGCAAATAAATATTGTTTAAATACAGGTCTTCTTGGCAGATACAAAATTGCAAATAAATTTCTAGAAAACTCTGGCACAAAAGAAATATTATTCTTTTTGAAACTATTTGTATCACGGCATTGCTTGTGATAATCGTTTAAAAATATCATTTATAAATACGTTTTCTTGACCAAAGAAATTTTGAAAAGCCTAAAGGTATGATAACAATGATAAAAAAATCGTTGCATGCTTTTGAGAGTGGAATTCACGAATCCAAAAGCTCGAGTTTCAAACTTACGTTGGCTTAGGATTAGCAGAATGCATGTTGCAGCTAAAGCCACAACAGGAATAAGTGGTAACAGGAATTTATGTTAGCTATTTAAAACATTTACGGAGCCATTGTTCTTTCTTAGTGTTTCAGAAGTGTTTCACAGACGATAACATTTTGAAGACCACTTTACTCATATATACGCAAAAATTTGTCTCTCGCAATAATTTAATTTCAAATAATTACATTTTTTACTTTAAAAAATTTAAATTCCATATGAATGATTACATTTTAAAACAGTCTTTTAAAGTTTCATTTTAATTACATTGCAAATGTCCCCGAATACAGTTTACGTAATTGGCTATCTGTTTTTCTGTTTAGCATTTCAACGGAATTTTGACTTCAACTTTAGAACACCTCTGATCATTATATCTGATTAACGCATGCCTTATTCTCGGTCATCGAATGAGAGGATTTCCGACGAGTTCTGCTTCCCGCATTTGCGAAGAATGTAAAGTCACAGAAGCTAATGCCTTACCTACGGCTCGTACCCTGGCCTATTGATATAAGCGTAGCCTCTGTTTATAACTGTAACGATCGTGTGTCTGAAAAATCTTTAGATATAATTTTATGCTCCTAATTAGTTGTAATTAATAGCTGTTTTTGCATAGAATATTGTTTTATTCTGTCGTATCTCCTTCAGTTTAGACTCCATAATAGTAGTCTCTGATCCTGAAATGTCCTGGCTCACATTGGCCCCCTACACACTTTCACATATGAATAAAAAAAAAATCTTTATATCGGAAGTCCGGTTAACATATGCCGATTATATTGGTGACGAGCTGCTCTCTTTAGTACTTGTAACAGAGAGTAAATCATCTGACTGACTAATTAATGACTTTCATTATGAATAGCGCTGGAATAACTGGAACAGTGCTACGAACTTTCAAAACTTACTTTTAGAGATTTTGTACATCGCATTAACATACAGCAATTTCCCCTGTATCAGTATTACAGCTTCTCGGCTGAAAGCTTATCCTGTCATGAGTCAGCTGCTTGTCCAGCGACATCATTGGCTGATAGGAGAAAATAAACAACAAACAAACAAACAAACAAAAAAGAAGAAGGCATTAAAAAAATTATTATAGTATTTTTTGGGGAAAAGATGCAGCTAATGTTCAGCTCCAATTCTTTCCTTTTTAACTTGTCCAATGTTTTTACACAATAAAATAGCAACACCAAAAGTTAACTAATTAATTGCTTAAAAATACTTTCAATTACATATGTGTGAATAATTGGTCATCTTTCTGAACAGAAAATAGCACGCCTTTTTATAAATGTTATTCTATTGGTGCGCTACAATAATTCACATTATAGCACATCTAAACACAATAATTTACATTATTGTAGCACATCTAAACACAATAATTTACATTATTGTATTTCTTAACAGAAATAAAAAGAGCATTAATTTCTAAAATTGGGTAAAAACTTAGCTAAAAGTCAGAAGAAGGTACTACATGACTTTTAAAGTATTCAATACATAATATTATGTAGATTATTTGTATTTATTTATTTGATGTTATTATTTACCTTTTTTTTCTTCCCATTGAACACGCTAGATGCTCGCTTGGATTAATTCCTCACTTGTCTACTCTGGAAAAGAAATTCATGAAATGACGAGACGAGCTAAAAAAACAAACCTTGTTATGACAAAAATCATTTTATCTGGACAACTAGCAAAATTTCACATCACACAAATAAGTCGGGCGACCTCGTTTGATCTCTCTGTCATTGTTTCTTGGATGTTATTTCGAACGAATATATATATATGTGTTTTCTCTTCCATCCCATCTTTTACTTAAGTACACATTTCTATCATAGATGAATCGATAGCCCACGTGACAAACAGCCATTCACATTTCTTTCGCGCTATGATTAAAAGGGCGCACTCACAAACTGAATTTAACAAGTATCCTTATTCCAGAAAGAACTGTTTGGCATCAGAAACTAGACTGTATATGAAACAACCGTGGAGCTTCTAGAAAAAAAATTAGAAGAAAGCTAATTTTTCGATCTCAAAATTAAAGTGAAAAGAATGAAAAAAGCATTAACAAGCATCTCAACGAGAAATTAATGAAATCAAAATGTATGGATATTAAAATAAATGAAAAGTGTTTAAGTTCGATGCGATAACTATTTCAAACAGAGGCTATTTATCAGCCTTTGATTAATAAGAAACCTACTTTATCCCGCACTTAATTTCATTTTTCGTCTTTATTAGCATGTAATTCTTCCTTTAAGCATTCTTTTTAAGTAAATTTTTCGAACTATGGTTTGAATTGTTACATGTTAAACGAAGAAATGATATCGTAATCTATAAGTTTGTAGCTCCAGAGATTTGAGTATTGGTTAATACAACTTTCAGATACGTATTATAATGGTTTCCGTAAGTTTTGGGCCAATTTTCTGGAGAGTCTTATGCCAGATTGTTAAATTAGAATTTTTTTTCTCTATAGTTTTATCCTATTCTTTATGAATCTACTTTATTCTGCAATCTGAAAATCTGCACAATCTTTATCAAAATATTAATTTAAACTTTTTTAAAATTAATAAACAACTAACCTTTCAAAAGCTAGACCACAGAAAATTTTGAAGTACCTTTCTTTTCCTTTTTTATCCCCCCCATGAGAAATTAAAATTAAACAAAAAGTTTAATTTGTTATGCTAATTTTGTTTTGAAAATTTGACAAAATTTAAATATCATTCAACTTTACTCTTGGAAACTTATTTCGCAACTTAATTTCAGTTAAATGTGCTTCGTAAAATATGTTACGTTATCTTAAAATATTGTACTCTCAAGCTAGAAAATTACTTTTTTTTACTATACGAATGATAGCTTTGCTAGAGAAATTGTTAAAAACTGTAAATTTACTGCATTATACTGTATTCAAGTTATAAAACTGAAAAAAGTGAGTTTTAAACAAGAAAATATGTGGTCATTTTTTAAGTTTATCTGAGAAGTTAGAGTTTTATACTGATCAAAATTTCAAAAAGTTCACGATTAAGTGCTACAAAATCTTTCGCAAAATTTAGTAAAATATGTGATGCATCAATTTCTCCTTAACTCTGAGAAGTGTGATTAGATCAGTCGGAAATCATGATCGTTCCACAAAAAGAACTTAGTGAGAAAACAATTGCTACCACAAACCATCAGAATAAAGCAAAATTTCTAAGGAAAATACAAAAAGGAGAAGAAATTGCCCAGGATAATAGCGCCTGCCATGGAATCATGACATATATACAAGTGCGCCAGAATATCAAAATAAACCAATAGCAGAACGCAAATGACTGACGAGGCCCACAAATAACACACTCAGATGCAAGCTTTATATGTCAAATTACGTGGCGGGATAGTTAGAACTCTCCAGCACACTTCTACCTCCACGAGAGAAAATTTCTTTCAGGTTTCTACTCTGTCAGGCCCCACATGGGATCACATCAGGAACTGGCAAGAGCAGGATTTTAACTTCCTGCTGAAAGCCAGTATAACCGCAAAGTTCCAAAGTTCCAAAGGGATAGTTAGAAAGTTAATCATTCACTGCATATTCTATAAAACTTTGTTAATTTACAAGTTTTTGACATGGAAAACTTGATTTATAATCTAGATACTATTCTGTATATAGCTCATAAAATTTATAAAAGAAATATCCTAACGTTATATTTGGCCCACCAGCGGCTGAGCGGTAAAAGCCGTTAAACACTGGTAATTCGGCCCGGGGTTCGAATTCCGGCGAACGAGCTGGCTGCATGGACGTTTTCGTGGTTTTCCCCATGTTTAACGAGCCAGTTTGCCTTAAAAAGACCTCCACGGGGCATCCCTCCCTTTCCGTGTAGTGCCTGAGGGCCGAGCACGTAATAAATAAAAATAACGTTGTATTTTAATAAATTTTGATTAAAATCTTAAATAAAAAATTTACATTCTTATAATTATTTTTATAATATAGTTGGAAACTACAAGGAATAGTCTAATAAAACTTATTAAGGTTTGATACTGGAACTCGCTTCGCTTGTGATGAGTTACTGTACCGTCACAGACTGACTGATACTGGAACCTTAGCCCTACAGCTTTACTAGACAGGTAGCGAGTTACCGTTATTTCTGAAAATAGTATAACAGAAATTTAAAAAGGTTTTAAAACGTTTTTATTTAACTATTAAGAAAACAGGGGCCGGCTCGTGCTAGAAATTACCATCGATTGTGGCGATGGAAATTAAATAATAACAGTCAAATAAATTTAAACGTTGATTGGCAGTCCAAGGCTTCACAGTTATATAACTAAGCTACAAGCTAGCTCAAATAATTTACCGGCTCATAAGTTAAAATTATCGGCTGCGAGAAAATGCTAAACCTAGAACATTTTCTCTGTCCCAAAGATCTAAAACCCTCAACCTAAATACACTACAAACTAATTTGCATTCTGTTGAGGAATTTTCGGTTTCTTGAGATTACGGCAAAGCACGCTAGAGCTATTAAGTTTTGCTCCTTGCTTGCATTATTGAAGTTTAGTGAAATTTTATCTGTTTAGTTGTGAAGATAAAAATTCTTCGGGACAAGAAAGATTAGACTGTCTGCGGTTAAACTTAATAAGATAACTTATTCCACTTTTGTCTAAATGCAATTGTTCAACCATCGTTTAAAACTTAATTGAAAGGTTTATTAAACAACTTCTTGTAATTTTCAGCTGAAAATTAGCAAAAAACTACTCATTTCTTGCGGGGTTACAGAAATTCAGGAACAGGGTGCCCAGGAAGGAAATGATGAAAAAGAGAGGCTTATATATCCGAAATTAATATGTTTATTGCACTGTGGTTTGCATTGCTGGAAAAATAAACTCACAAAGTTTTGTACACCTCTACGTGAGAGCGCCCTTTTTAGCATGGGCTTATGCGTAGACGACACTTCATCTCATTCCCGCAGATTGGAAAGCATCGCAGGTATGACTTAGTTCTACCATTTCTGTAATTCGGGTGCTCAAATCTGCAAAAAACGTAAAGTCCACTCCTTCCGGCGAACAAAATTCTTTGAGTTGTTCTTTCCGGTTATATAAACCACAATGCATATTAATTATGCGCACGGTGGAGCACACTGGTTTCGGATGTGTCAAACACATTGATTTTGGATACATTGTATCATTCTTTTTCATCACTTCCTTTCCCAACATCTTGTATTTACGGCAGTAAAATCCATAACTTCCCTTTCACCTGAAAACTCGGTTCCAATTAGAGTAGATTCTAATTCTTATGCTCTAAAAAGATGCTAAATTCACTCATCATCCAATAGTAGGCTACATGGAAGGCTGCTCCTTTCACGCCAGACAGCTATATTGGATGTGTGCCATAGTATTCTCCATAAATTCCAATTTCGCTCCCTATTTAAACTCGAACTAATTTACATTCTTGGAAAGGTTAGCGAAAGAAACAGAGCCTATAGTAAAGCATTAACTTAGACTTTATAGTGTGAAATAAAAGTTGATGCTTCAAACTCTTGAAAGTAAAACATAAAATGCGGCAATGAATCCGATATTTCAATGCTTTAAGCTTTTAATGAAAGAATATTACTAAGGACTTTTGATATTTTAAAATGTAGTGAATTAATTCCTAAAAACTGTAATCACATTCTCTTATCTTTTCATTCTTAAACCTACGGCAGTCTCTTATAAATGGCCTAGCAGTGTGCTGACAGGTTAGCTTGGCAATGTGGTTGGTTTACTGTAAGATATAAGAGAAGACAAGATTCTTCTTCAGTTATTTTCAGATTTGCATCAATCGCGGTAAGCAGACGCAGTGCCTTTCTGTTATCTTCCAGAATCCTTATAAAAGTGCCATGAGAATATATTTTATACTACGGATATATTTTTACTCGAAAACAAATTTTCGATTAAATAACATTACGAATAACTTTAACTTTGCCGGAAATCCCTTGGCCAGGTTCTGATTAGGGCAGCTAATCAATAGTCAAATGGATAACACCTCCAAATATTTATAATTTTCTTCTGGTGCTCGATTCCGGATGCAGTAAGCTGATAGCACGGGAGTTTTCGTGATATCCCAGCTATCTATATATATGAGTTCCCGCTTTCTTTTTCCTGTAGAAAATCCATGATGAAAATAGTCCTCGCGTGGGCTGCCTTCGTCGTGCTTTCTTTCAATACCTTTGCATGCTCCACCATTATCCGTTATTCATTTCGAATTAATCAGGATCAATCGTAAACGAAATGCGCATTCCGGCCGTATTAATTAAATCGAACACTGCCTGTTTAGTTGGAACCCGGGAAAAAAAAAAAAAAAAAAAAAAAAAAAAAAAAAATACAGAAAAAAATATAGAAGATATCACTGATTACATCATCGTTAAGAAAACAACTGATTAAATAACAAACTGATTTTCTTCCCTTTACCGAAGCTCGTACATAAATGTAGCAACAATTTAATTGCATTCTATAAAGGAAACATTTCAAAATAACACAAGTCGTTTTCTTCAGTACTATATTTCTTACATAACGACAGCCAAAGCTTTTACAATGTACATCTATCCACTGATCGAAGAGCAAATAGACGTAACATAATTATTACAGCTACCTTATTAAATTGTCTCTAGTTGTCTGCTCTTAAAAGCTAAAACTCTGTAATGTACGAAAGAAAGTCTGTTTTCCCCATGACTCAAGTCCATTTGAGAAACTTACTTTGACTGATCGCAAAATGCTTTTATCAGGTGTTTCCGTTTTCGGCTGATGAGCTTTTAGAACGTCA